AACTACGCATGCGCCAAATAATACAGTTCTAAGCAATTCGTGCTAGGGAGCTAGAACTACTTCGGATGATTCAGAATGGTTCCGAATCAAGTTCGAATAAAACCAAAACAAACATCTGCGAAATTCTGAACCGTTCAAAGTAAACACGAACGCATATTTCAGACTGCGCATGATTAAAACCGTTCGGAATCGGATTTTATGGGAACCAAAACAAAGCTCAGGTATTCCCCTAATTGTGTCAGCAGCTTCAAGTATACGGTTTCGCAATTCTTCCACCGTAGCAATTAGAGTATTGTAAACCAATGACTTCAAGTGACTCCAAAGATAAAAGTCCATTGGAGTTAGATCGGGTGACCGAGGTGGCTACGGCACATGACCAAAGCGTCCAATCCATTGCTGAGGAAACATTTCATTCAAAAGTGTCGTTACTTCTAGAGTACTGTGTGGAGGAGCCCCATCTTGAAGATAAAACATGCGTGCCTGAACTTGTAATGCCACATCGTCCAATAATTCAGGCAACTGGTTATCCAAAAAGTCAGCATATGTTGGTCCATTTAGTCGCCGTTCAAAGAAATAGGAACCCACAAGTACATCGCCTATTATGCCAACCCAAACATTTACCGGGAATCGATGTTGAAAATGAGTTTCCATAATCGCGTGAGGATTTTCATCGGCCCGTATGTGCATATTATGGAAATTCACTTATAAGCAGGAAAGTCTACTTGATTGGTACATTGCCGTAAAAACCATCTGGTAAAACGCATTCGTTAATCACAATCTGTTGAACTGGTTGTAGATGATAAGGGTGCAATAGCTGGCGCCTTAAGATGCGATGTACGGTACGAGATGAGGTTCCTACTTGCTGTGCGAGTCGTCGAGTACTAATTGTGGGGTCTTCGCCAAGAATTTCCAACACTGCATCTCCAACATTAGGAATCACTTGCTGACCACGTCCTTCTCCTCAAGGAATAATACTTCCCGTATCTCGCAGCCGCTGAACGCACTGTAGGATTGTATTTGCACATGGGTAGTGACATTGTGGCCATCGTTCCCGGCACAACCTAGTCGCCGCGAGCGCATTTTTTTTGGCTGCACCATACACTAACACCATATCGACAAGTTCGGAAATAGTAAATACACATTGTTTTCTCGGTTCATTGTAAAACTAGTTTGTGCACAAACTAACAAATTAAGCAAAGTAAGAAATAAGAATCTCGTTTTTAATGTAATCGGCACGCTATTCTTATTTTTTAATTCTTTATAAAAATTACACTATCATTATCGTGGAATTACAAAATAAAAACTTTTGTTTGGAATTTTTCACTTTTTAACACTGATGGGTCGATGGACGATGTTTAATATTTAATAATTAAGTGAATAATGAATTTAATACAAATACAAAATCAGTTGACTGCACAAATTTTTTGACAATGTAACCTAACCTTCTTTTAGTATTACTAGTATTAGATTATACCGACTTAAATTATAAGGTTGCATCTCGGGTCGCATAAAAACATTTCCAAAGTTTTTAATAAATAAAACAGGGTCGGTCTTCATTTTCGTTGAATAAATGAACTTTAATTTACAAAAAAAACGCGAAGATAGAACTTTTTCGTATGAGTTTTCTATTACAAATATCATCAGGAAGCTGTAGTTTAATTTTCGTAGATTATACACGCCACACCCTGTATGTGTCAACATGAGTAGAAATACGTGTTATGAAATGTCGATTGAAATAAAAATATATTATAGTTCATAAACAATGTCATAAATGCTGTTAGTTGAATAACGGAAGATTAATAACAAATAATAATAAACCATTTACGATGCATAGAAATCCTTTTAAATTATTTACAATACAAAAAGTTTCATATTTAATGTAATAGTATAATACATAATAATTTAATTCATTATTTTAATTTATAGCGTTAGTTTCACTGCAGTACTATTACAATTGCATAATGAATACTATATTATTATAATTCCAGGTCGACTTGCATTTCTTTCGCCTTTGATTCCAATGAAAACTACATTTTAGATCAGTGCGAACATCTCTTTTGATCTCTGCTACATTGTGAGAATTGGTGTAAGGTTACGCCACTGCCTGCTTTCCTCGTTTCATGCAACCGTAATATAAAAATTAGTCTAGACCTGGACAATACCCCACAGGATTAAAATTCCCAGCGACGCATCCGTTATTAATAGTAATAACGTAATCCAGTTAAGTTCTATGAATTTGAATGAGTAAAGAGATGTGTTTGAAATTTGCGATAGGCGTCATTCATATTTGCTGCTTTATCTTTTATTTATTTTTGCAGAGAAGACTCCATTACATTGTTTATTTTGGTATTATTTGACGTACAGAAATAAAGGGATAAATGTCGAGTAAAATCAGTCAGTAAATTACCAGAACCTTTATGCGAGGCATATCCACGAAGTAAGAGTGCTCAATTTTTTAAAAACTGAAATTGCAGTATGTTAAAGAAAAATTTACAATTACAAAGATACATGAAACACTATTTTTCGACATAGGTAGTGTGAAAAATCAATCAATTTGTTGTTAATATTACGCATTTCTGAGTAAAAGAAACACAACTCTGGGGCGAAATATATGTACCATAGATTGGATTCTGCTGTCAGGCAACAAATACGTATACTTGTAGTCAAAAATTTATTTTAGTTACTATTTGGTGTAGCATACCAACATGACACATATATCTAGCTAACTCAAAAATTTTACAATGTTATCAATATAAGATTTATTTATTACAAATAATTGAATGAACTCAACGACTGTTACTATTTCAATACAACTGGGTATGGGTTTGTTTTAACAAAAATTGGGTTGATTCACTCAATTTTGTATACAGTGTATATTTTTTGTATGATTATACAGGGTCATTCAGTCATAATGTAATTAATTTTATGGGAAGATAGGGAAAAATCAGTAGGATACAAATACGTGATTAAAAAAAAATAAATGCATATTTATGCTAGAAAAAAATATATTCAAATCATTATTTAAACCCCTTTTCAAACCGCTCCTGACCGCTGACCTACAAAGGTTTAGGTTTTGACCTACCGTATTCGGTCACTAACCTAGCTTTTACTGTGTTTAATAGTGAACGACAAAAACAGACCTGTTTACCTAGACACGTGAATGAATAAGATATTTTTTTTTACATTTTAAATATTAACAAGTATTATTTATTTGTTAATAAAAACAAATGTGTAAGAATAATAAAAGTTTTATAATTGATTATAAGTATTTAATATTATGTTCAATTAATTATTCAGTTTGTAGTACGTATACCTTATTGTGTGACTTTTCAAAGAGTAGGATGATACCTACCTATATAAAATGACAATACGATTAAAAAATACTCACATATCCGTTCATAGAGCTTTGTTAAGTTGGGTTCCGCTGATGCACTTTGATTTTCAAACCAATTGCAAAGTTCAAGACGACTGGGGAAATTAGCTGTTTCGCTTCAACCTTCGAAAGTTATGTAATTCCCTGTTGTGAAGTAGGGCGCCGAGTTAACGGGAGTTAAGGGGAAATTTTCTTATTTTTTAAAAGGTCATTTTTTTCTACATACGTGGTTAAAATTAATGACTTCATAACGGATTCATCCTGTATATTTGTATAAGAAAGGAAATATATAACAAGACAATAATTCATTTCTGTATATCCCTTATCTCTTATATTGCTATAAAGAATATTCCAATAAAAATAATTCATATGCTCAGCAGATCTAAAAACGAACGATTCATCTGCATTTCATTTTAAACCGAATGCAAGTTCGTGAACCAAAGAAAGATTAAAATATAACAGGGACTTACGGGACAATCTGTTATCCAGTGTTGGATTTTCCCATTCCTCTTCCCGAGGAGTCCACTCTCGACGCTTCACGGTGTCTTGTCTGGTACTAACACTATCTGTAGGCAGTCGTCCCATCGCTGTAACAAAAGAGCAAGATTAATTATTTGTTGATATATTTTATTGGAGTGGCATATTTTTATTTTATTCATTTCGGTTTCTACACGTATTCATAGTTACTCGTTCACAGTGATGATTTTTACGTATACCTTAAACGCATTCTTTTTAAGCCGAAATTTCGATTAGAGTCGAATAACACCGAATTCAGATCGATCAGCGTCGACAATAAAGAAAATCCTATTATTCATGTCTTTGAAAAGATTTTATTTTTTGAACGACTAGGTACTCAAAGTTGCTTTAAAAGTATATTTTTAGAGTTCGGGAGAGTGGTTTCTAACAGTCATACTTAGGTCCCTCACCCAGCTCAGTCTTCATTTCTGTTGTTTACTACGCGTCGATGCCTTTGTATATGTACAAAAATTACAATAAATTGTAGTCGCAGTGCGTAATCAATTAACTGTATAGATCCCTAAGGTTATAACTACATATGTACTCAAATAATAATTTTTCCCCTAAAATTACAAAAGTATTTCTTGCAGAGATTTCATTAAATCAAAAAATCCCCCATGAAAGTACATTAAGCACAAGATATATATGGATCAAATTTATAATAATGCAGTCAGCTCAATACGCGAATATTGCTGATAATTTTCTTTAGTTCCAAAGGGAAAATTATGATTACTGCCTAAAAAGTGGCTGTGTTAGTAACAGTCATTTACTGACATCTAAAGCAGTATAAAACACCAATCAGTAAACTAGTAGTAATTTTGGTATTTGATTGTTTTGATCCTATGTGGCCCAAAGCTTCAGATACAGTTCTTGTAATGATTTGAGTCTCAAATGTATACGATGATGATACACTTAACGTGTGTAGCTTACGCACTCAATATGGTAGCGAGAAATAAGGAAAAATTTTTCATTAGTAAACACAAATTTGAAATGACAAAAGAATGCAATTAAAGCGCTTACAAGGAGGGACATGTTTACGCATGTTTGACTATACAATACTCTCGAAACAGTTGTCACTATACAGGGTGTTTCAGGATTAAGTCGACAAACTTTAAGGAGACATTCCTCATAAAAAAGAAAGAAAAAAATCAAGTATAAATTTTTTTCCAGAGACGCTTCATTTTCGAAATATAGGGCGTTAAAGATTTTTTTAAAAATTCGAATTTTTTAAATGACTTCTAAATGAAGAAGGCTATTTAAGCCAAATTTGGCAAGACACATCTTCTTATAAGATACCATTTTCCCATAGAAGTAGAAGTCCTGCAAGCAACCAGTGGCGGACTTATGGGGAAATTATAAAAAAAAATTATACGGCCCTACTGAAAAAAAAATGATGCGTTTTTAGATAGAACAGTTTGTTATTGACAAAAAGTGTACATTCACTTTTTCTCCTAACTCTTATAGTTTCATGGCAAAATTAATTTTTCGAAAGGGTGCTTCTGGATTCTGTCGATAAACTTTAGGAAGAATATAGGTAACATTTACTCGAAGGGGAATTTTAAACCAAAGAAACAACCACATTTGGACCTACAAGAATCCACGCGCGGTAAGGGAACATAGTTTTCAGCATGAATTCCAATGTAACGTATGGTTGGGTGTGTTGGACAACACTATAGTTGGTCCCTACTTCCTTCCGCATCGGTTAAATGCTGACATGTTTACCGAGTTCATTGAAAATAGTTTTCAAGATCTGTTAGAAGTTCCGCTTAATACTCGAATGAACAGTTGGTTTCAACTAGATGGTTGTCCTGCCCATTTTGGTATGGGTCCTAGGGAGTGGTTAAACATTAATTATCCCACGAGATGGATTGGTCGTGGAGGACCTGCAGCGTGGCCCGTACGTTCACCGGACTTGACACCGATGGATTATTTCGTTTGGGGTGCTATTAAACAAAAAGTCTACGAGGTGCCAGTTGATACCCTAGAAGATCTAACAATAAGACAGCGAATAGTCCAAGCGTGTCGAGAATTAACTCCAATTTAGTGTCGATCGGCCACTACCTCCATAAATAGAAGATGTCATGCTTGACGACAGTCCAGAGGCGCCCATTTTGAACAAAATATTTTATAAATCATTTCATTTTTGATTCACTTTTCGCTTTGTCTATAAAATTAATTGGTAATTTTTTTGTTTGTTTCAATTTACAAATCAATTTTCATGTATTGTTTGCCATCTTATTTTATTTAAAAGTACACAACACAAGTAAATGAAGTGACTACAAACCGCCTGAAAAAATTTAGTAGTATTGCAAGGGTCGTTACGTTGTCGCATTACGGCATAGTCACATTAGATATTAGGTACTTAAATATTTCTATTGTTTTCATCATTTTTTTTTTCTAAAAAAAAAACACCCTATATCACAAAAACGAAGCATCTCCTAAATAATTTTAATACTATTGGTTAAACCCAATGGAAGGGGAGCCAAAAAGGCTTATTTGCCTCACACATACTCGAGACTAAACCAATTTTAATAGGTACTATATTTTTTAGGTTTTATGAGGATCGTCTTCCAAAGTTTATCGACAGAATCTAGAAGCGCCCTTTCGAAAAATCAATTTTGCCATGAAACTATAAGAGTTAGGAAAAAAAGAGAATGTACACTTTTTGTCAATAACAAACTGTTCTATCTAAAAACAGCATCATTTTTTATTTTCAGTAGGGCCGTATTAATTTTTTTTATAATTTAATGAGTTTGAGTCCCCATAACTCCGCCACTGGTTGCTTGTGGGACTTCTACTTCTATGGAAAAATGGTATCTTATAAGAAGATGTGTCATGCCAAATTTGACTTAAATAGCCTTCTTCATTTAGAAGTTATTTAAAAAATTCGATTTTTTTTTTAAATTTTTAACGCCCTATATTTCGAAAATGAAGCCTCTCTGGAAAAAAATTTATACTTGATCTTTTACTTCTTTTTTTATGAGGAATATCTCCTTAAAGTTTGTCGATTTAATCCTGAAACACCCTGTATAGATGAGGTACCTACTTTGTTAATAGCAGTAACGTACTATGGCAAACACTGACATTATGAAAGATATTATTTACATACGATAGGTACTCATTACCACAGGTTTAATGGAAGCACCTAAATCTAAATTTTAACTGAAGATATTGCAGGAAACAACTACTTTGCAGTAAAAAAACCTGACTTATACTGGTTTTGAATTTATTCATTCTCATGAACATGCCATAAGTACGAGCTACTTCAGTCCAGGCCCGAGAACTTATACTTGAAAATATGGGGAAACTGGGAACCACGTGACTTGAGATGGATATGNTTTGTCTAGGTATAAAATTAATTGGTAATTTTTTGTTTGTTTCAATTTACAAATAAATTTTCATGTATTGTTTGCCATCTTATTTTATTTAAAAGTACACAACACAAGTAAATGAAGTGACTACAAACCGCCTGAAACAATTTAGGAGTATTGCAAAAGTCGTTACATTGTCGCATTACGGCATAGTCACATTCGATATTAGGTACTTAAATATTTCTATTGTTTTCATCATCATTTTTTTTTCTAAAAAAAACACCCTATATCACAAAAACAAAGCATCTCCTAAATAATTTTAATACTATTGGTTAAACCCAAGGGAAGGGGAGACAAAAAGGCTTATTTGACTCACACATACTCGAGACTAAATCAATTTTAATAGGTACTATATTTTTTTAGGTTTTATGAGGATCGTCTTCACAAAGTTTATCGACAGAATCTAGAAGCGCCCTTCCGAAAAATCAATTTTGCCATGAAACTATAAGAGTTAGGAAAAAAGTGAATGTACACTTTTTGTCAATAACAAACTGTTCTATCTAAAAACATCATCATTTTTTATTTTCAGTAGGTCCGTATTAATTTTTTTTATAATTTAATGAGTTTGAGTTCCCATAACTCCGCCAGTGGTTGCTTGTGGGACTTCTACTTCTATGGAAAAATGGTATCTTATAAGAAGATGTGTCATGCCAAATTTGGCTTAAATAGCCTTCTTGATTTAGAAGTTATTTAAAAAATTCGAATTTTTGTTTAAATTTTTAACGCCCTATATTTCGAAAATGAAGCCTCTCTGGAAAAAAATTTATACTTGATCTTTTTCTTCTTTTTTTTATGAGGAATATCTCCTTAAAGTTTGTCGATTTTTTGTGGACAATGCAAACACTTTGACATTATGAAAGATATTATTTACATACGATAGGTACTCATTACCACAGGTTTAATGGAAGCACCTAAATCTAAATTTTAACTGACGATATTGCAGGAAACAACTATTTTGCAGTAAAAAAATCTCATGAACATGCCATAAGTACGAGCTACTTCAGTCCAAACATCTCTCTTCTGATTACTCCACTGTACTGTCCCAAGTAAAACACAAAAATGAGTTAAAACCTTACTGCAATTGCACATCCGATAACCGTTTTGATCGTGATTTTATCCGACTCCCCCAAACTTGCAAACTCAAAGAAAGCGCCAAATGATGGATTTACTGTGAATTTACTTATTTAGTGTCCCGTTTATTTAGTTAGTGTTCCGTTTGTCGTTCGGTTCATTGTTCTGTTTGTTGTTCCGTATAATCAGGTCTGTGCGAAGCTTAAGAATTTGTTCAATCAATTCGACAGTCCGGTTCCTGAAAGACAGACATAATTCTACCGTTTTAAAATGGTTTTCGATATATTTTTTGTGCTAACAAAACTGGTTGGAATATGAGTGAGATATAACCTATACAAGTATGTTATATCTTCAACCGGTCTGTGTTAGGTGTCGAATGATCTTATCTGTTTAGATATTGTGGGTGTAATTTAATGCTGGATGGCACTACAGCTTTTCACAATAGTATCATTAGTAAAAATGGTTGTAATATAATGGAAGCATCAATAAAATCACTGTTAAATTATTTCTATTTTCCACGCTTCCATATACTCTTCATAAAATAGATACATCTGTTCCAGATCATTTCTTAAACTTAATTTCAGTAAACGTATTGTTCTTCAGACGACATAATTTGTTACTATAATCTG